GGGCGGCTAGGGCTGGGCCGAGCCCGACGGCGGAGCGGGCGCCCTGAAGTGCTTTGTTCTCTTCGACCCTCTCCTGCCTCTCGGCCGCCCACCCTGGTTCTTTGTTGGCTCCCAGCTCGCAGACCCTCTTGTGGTTCTTTGGTCCCTTCCGGCCTCCGTCTTGGGGCCAACTCCATCTGGGCCACCTGCGGCGGACACCTGGGCCCCGACCGCTTCCCCGCACCTGCTGCGCCGCTCCATCTTCCCCCGCGCCGCATCCCACTTGTGCACCAGAGTAGCATCAAAGCACCGGCCTGGGGCCGGTCCCTTCTCTGCCCAGAGCCCCTCCCGGGGCTCCATAGTCGGTAAAGGCCCCTCCTGACCAAGGCTGGGTCTGCTGCTCTCCCGCACTCCTCCAGGCCGCCGGAAGGCTTCCTCCGAGTCACTTTCTCTCTGAGTTCCAGGCTTGCGTGTCCCCCAGCGATCCAGCTGCCCTTCCCCTGCCCTGTACCCAGTTATTCAGGCCAAAAACCTAAGCGTCGTCTGTAAGTCCCATATATGCCAGTGGCCAGGCCCGGGTCTGGTCTGGCCTCTGCTCCTCGGGCTGCAGAAGCGTGTTTTCCCTCCTGCCCTTACTTCCCTACCCACACACAGCACCACAGCGGGCTTCTCAAGCTGCAGCACCGACCTGCCCGGGCTGCCCCTCTCTCTTCTCCAGGACCCTCCCCAACTTTGCTCTTCTTCAAATCAAAGCCTTCCCAGGTCCCCCACCACCAACAGGTGCCCGTGGGGTTCCTGCCCAGGTCGACACTCGGTTCTCTCTGGCAGCCTTTCTGCCTACGTCATTCCCTAGACTGGGAACGCTGTAGACAGAAAGGGTGGCAAGTGTGTGGGTGACTGGTGTGAGGACCTGGGCGGCCCTGGAACCTGGGACTGACTGGAGGCCCTGATATGGAAGCTCCTTGGCACCTGCTGCTCAGCTCTGGACGTCCCTTGTTCGCATACTGCCTCCCAGCTCCTCCTCTGGGCCTTCACCCCAGCCTGGTCTTGTGCCGCTGCCTAGCCCGGTGGGAGAAAGCAGACCAGAGCTGCTGTCCTGCTTTTCTGCCCTCTGTTGCCCGGTCCTGCCTCACGCCACACGCGGAGGCCGGTGGGGAGACCGCGGCTTCCTCTGGCTCTTCTGGGTTTCTTATAGGCCAGGGCTTTCCTGTCTCCTGACTTCTGCTTGACGTGGTGATACAACAGTAGAGATTATGCGGTCTTGGTTTTTCTTTCTCACCATCTTAGCCTGAAGGCCCTTTAGCTCTTGGTCCCAGGAGGCAGCGGTGCTGCCCATGGCTCCCGGTGCCAGGCTGGAGAGTGAGTCTCTGAAGCAGGATGGAGACTCAATCGGAGGCTTTCCCTGCCCCTTGGCAGAGGACATGTGTGGGAGGTGTGAGCTCCAGAGCGATGAGCACACCTGTGCCAGAAGGGGTCGTGCTCCCTGCGGCAGCTGTCATGTGTGTGTCTGGACAACGTGGCTGTGTTGCCCTCACACTGACACAAACATGTTCTGCTTTTCCAGAATGAGTCTGCAGGTCTTAAACGACAAAAATGTCAGCAGTGAAAAAAGTACAGAAAATTGCGACTTCCTGTTTTCCTCACCGGAAGTTACCGGAAGATCGTCTGTTTTTCGTGTGTCACAGAAAGAAAATGTGCCACCCAAGAACGTGGCCAAAGCTATGAAGGTAAGTGTGACCTCTACAGTGTGTGGCTAGCCAGGTTGCCCTAGGACCTGCTTTCCTGGTGACCTCTGAGCTGCAGGACACTGCTGGTGTGGCTGTAACAGCTTGAACTAATGAATGGGTGCTCTCCTCCTCACTCCACAACAGGTGACTTTTCAGACACCTCTGCGGGATCCACAGACGCACAGGATTCTAAGTCCTAGCATGGCCAGCAAACTTGAGGCTCCTTTGGCTCAGGGTGATACCCTTGGACTGGAAAACTGTCACCCGGTGTGGACGCAGAAAGAGAAGTAAGTGTTCATGCTACTGGACATGCTGGAGCTTCACCCTCTCTGTCCGATGGCTCTTGCAGAAACGTGCTGTCCTGTCCTGTCAGGCCTTGGCTGGAATTTTTTTTTTTTTTTTTTTTTTTTTGAGATGGAGTCTTGCTCTGTTGCCCAGGCTGGAGTGCAGTGGCACTATGTCCGCTTACTGTAACCTCTACCCACCCCAGGTTCATGCCATTCTCCTGCTTCAGGCTCCCCGAGTAGCTGGGACTACAGGCGCCCGCCACCATGCCCGGCTAATTTTTTTGTTTTTTTTAGTAGAGACGGGGTTTCACCGTGTTAGCCAGGATGGTCTCGATCGCCTGACCTTGTGATCCACCCGCCTCAGCCTCACAAAGTGCTGGGATTACAAGTGTGAGCCACCGTGCCTGGCCGGCCTTGGCTGGATTTCTCCTGAAATCTGCACTGAGTGTATGCAGCATGTGGCCAGTTCACTAGCAGAAAAGTCGATCATCAGATACTTGGATAACTTCATACTTCACTCCCCCCCACCCCCGAGATGGAGTTTTGCTCTTGTTGCCCAGGCTGGAGTGCAGTGACACGATCTCTGCTCACTGCAACCTCCGCCTCCCATGTCCAAGCGATTCTCCCACCCCAACCTCCCCAGTAGCTGGGATTACAGGTGCCCACCAACACCTGGCTAATTTTTGTATTTTTAGCAGAGATGAGGTTTCTTCATGTTGGCCAGGCTGGTCTCGAACTCCTGACCTCAGGTGGTCCACCTGCCTCAGCCTCCCAAAGTGCTGGGATTACAGGCATAAGCCATCGCGCCCAGCCCATACTTCACATTTTTGCTGTGCTTTTGCCAACCAATTGGCTTCGATCTTTGCTCCTCTAATTTGATGAAATGTCTTGGCCCCATCTCCAGGAAGGCAATCCATAGTTTCATTTATCTTGAATTCCGGCCACCCTATTAGGACTTGGAAAGAGTAGATAGACTTGTAAGCAAAGAAACCATGTTGTGTGATCCACCCCTCAGTGTGTGCATGGTTGGAGGGCTCTGCCAGACGCTGGGTGTTGGGTTAGGCTTGGCATTGGCAGTCTGCTGGCCGACCTGATGCTTAACTGCAAGCGGATGGCAAGGCGGTGTCTGTCTTTGCCTGGAAAGGGAGGACCCTGGAAGCAGCTCTTTACTCTGTGGCTGAACTAATCTGTCTGGGCACCTGGGAACACCTCATCTGCATCCAGGGTGGGAAGGGACCCCAGAGGCATGATTTTCTGCTGGTTTTTGCTGATGTAACTGTTGTTGCTGTTTTGAGACAGGGTCTCGCTTTGTCACCCGGGGTGGAGTGCCATGGTGCCATCACAGCTCACCGCAACTTTCACCTCCTGGGCTCAAGCAGTCCTCCCACCTTGGCCTCCTTAGAAGCTGGGACTACAGTTGTGAGCCACCATGCCCGGCCAATTTTTTTTTTTTTTTTTTTTTTTTTTTTTTTTTTTTTAAAGACGGAGTTTTTCTTGTTGTCCAGGCTGGAGTGCAATGGCGCAATCTCAGCTCACTACAACCTCCACCTCCCGGGTTCAAACGATTCTCCTGCCTCAGCCTCCCGAGTAACTGGGATTACAGGCATGCACCACCACGCCCAGCTAATTTTTTGTATTTTTAGTAGAGACAGGGTTTCTGCATGTTGGTCAGGCTGGTCTCAAACTCCCGACCTCAAGTGATCTGCCCGCCTCGGCCTTCTGAAGTGCTGGGATTACAGGCATGAGCCGCCACGCCCGACTGGCCCAAAACTTTCAAACAGATTTTAGGTGTGCGAAGAAGAGCATAAGGAACACAATACCACTAATGCTTCTCACTCCCTGAGATAAAATGTCACCAGTAAGTGCAGGCAGCATTTCCTATGTCCTTCTCTGGGCCCTGGGCCTGTCTCCCCTCCACCCCTCCAGCCTGAATTTGCAGTTCTTGCTATATCTGCTTGCTACTTTTCAAGTTGGTTTTTTGCCCCTTTTGAAATTTGGTCAAACAAAGTGAGAATGAATCAGACATTGGTTCACAACGACCCCAAGCAGGAGGGGAGGACCAGCAGCAGAGAAGTCGTCTCCCAGCTGCCATGGGTGTGATCCGTCCCAGAGCCACAGATGCCCTTGCCTCTGCCCTATGCCTCCAGGGCCACCCAGCAGCCTCCATAGGGCAGAGGGTGTAAAGGAGCTAGGAGGGGCTTGGGAGGGTGGCCCTGTGGGGCTCCAGCCAGAGTGACTCTGAGCTCGTGGCTTGGGCTCGTGGCTGTCATCTCCCTTCTGGAATTCTGCTTTGGCCCAGGTGGTGGTTGCTGTGGTGCTCCCACGTCAGTGGGATGAGACCAAGAGCAGCCGCTGTGTGCAACTGCCCACGTATCATTCCAAGGACAGCTGAGTAGCCGCCTGGGAGGGCAACGCCACCCTGAGGTGGCAGCTGGACAGCAGAGGAGTTGTGAACAGTCCGACAGGTCCCTAACCCTCAGTTTCTCAGTTTTGACATCTTCAAACTTAGAGAAGAGTTGGAAGAGAAGGGCAGGTAACAGGGGCCCCTTATCTGAGGCACTGGCACATGACCCTGCATCTTCTGAGGGACCTGAAGGCCGGGGAACAAGTGATGCAGCGTTTGTGCCCTCTGTGTTGTAGTTGAGCCCCAGCCATCCCAACAACCGCCTCTTCTGTCAGGGCTCTGTGCCCTGCAGTCCCACATTGTGAGCAGGGAGTGCCCCGGGAATGGTGGGTCCCTGGGAAGGTGTTCTCTGCACCCATGGCGCTCCACTGTGGCAGGCGGGTGCTGCGCCAGTGTGGCCACAATCCAGGGAGGTGTTGCAGAGGCCACTCAGGCCCTTCTGTGCCTGAAGGTGGCATCGTGCACCTCAACCTTGTCCTTCAGTGAAGGCTGTGACTGGCCCTGGCCCTGGCCACAGCACTGCCAGTTCCCTACCTGAAGGGGAAAGCAGATCGGTGCAGAAAACCTTTGTTTACCACGCCCCTGCTGGCTGTCCGGGGCCTGCACGTCCCCAGGGCTGATCTGTGGGCATGTCCTCGGGGGAGGTTTAAGCCAGAGGACAGTGTTGACTGAGCTTTCTTGTTTTGCTTATAGCTGATGTTTTCACACAGACTAAAGTGTCATCAGAATGCTGTCAGGTCCCTTAATGTTAGAATTCAGGGTCATTAAGATGGTGCACACCCTTCGGTGATTAGGAGAAACACAGGTGGAAATAGTGATCTTTTAACTTACAGGCCCACAGCAGGCTGGAGGCCACACGGAGGACTGGGGCAGGCCCTGGAGCACAGGCAGGGGACAGCTGAGAGGGTGGCAGCCAGCCTCGTCTATCAGGGAGTAGGGTGGGGTCACTGTATGCTGGTGGGCAGGTGCTTGAATGGATTTTTTATAGGAAGTGGTGGATGTCAGTCACCGTGGCTCCTGCCTGTAATCCTCGCACTTTGGGATGCTGAGGTGGGTGGATCACCTAAGGTCGGGAGTTCTAGACCAGCCTGGTCAACATGGTGAAAACTTGTCTTTACTAAAAATACAAAGCAAAATTAGCCAGGCATGGTGGCGGGCACCTGTAGTCCCAGCTACTTGGGAGGCTGAGGCAGGAGAATGGCTTGAACCCCAGAGGCAGAGGTTGCAGTGAGCCGAGATCATGCCATTGCACTCCAGCCTTGGCAACAGAGCAAAAATTCATCTCAAAAAATAAATAAATAAATAAAAATAAAGGAAGCGGTGGGAAATTGAGGAGCCCAGTCTACCAGGTGGGAGAGGTGCCTCTAAGCTTCTTTCTCTGGCATCAGCTTGAGGCATTTGGGTGTGGTGTCCCACATCTGACCCCCCAGGCAGCAGCCTGTGCTGCGTCCTTGCTGTGGTGCCTGGGTGCAGACTTTGTGCATGATGACGAGTGCTGTTTGGGTGGCAGAGGCTGCTGGAGGACTCTGGGTCCAGCACTTGCCAAAGTGCATGATGAGCACAATTAAACAGGCAAGCAGCCCACAGGCACCCCTGCAAGTTGGAACCCCATGCATAGCCAACCCCAAGAAATGGGGCGGAGGCGGGGGTCAGCGAGGACGTCACGTGGCTATCCATCTGTTCCACAGGGAGCTGGTCCCTGGGAGGACAGGAAGGAACCACATTGAGGAACTAGGGTGGGGGGTGGAGAATGGGAAGCTGTGCCAAGGGTGACTCAGCCCTGCTTCTGGTGTGAGAGAGTTAAACCTGTGTTGAGAATGGATGCCGAGGCCACCTAACCTCACAAGTACTCACTGCTTCACGTTGACTAAGTCTGTTTTAAAAGCCAACAGCTCATCAAGGAAGTGGATGCCAAAACTACTCATGGAATTCTACAGAAACCAGTGGAGGCTGACGCCAACCTCCTGGGGGATGCAAGCCCAGCTTTTGGGAGTGGCAGCTCCAGCGAGCCTGGCCCAGGTGCCCTGGCTGACCTGGACTGCTCAAGTTCTTCCCAGAGCCCAGGAAGTTCTGAGAACCAAATGGTGTCCCCAGAAAAAGTGTCTGGCAGCCCTGAGCAAGCCTTGGAGGAAAATATTAGTTCCTATTCCTTAGACAGAAAAATGACACCCACCTTTGAGACCCTAGAAGACCCTTCCAGGACAGAGTCCCAGCACAAAGCAGAGACTCCACACAGAGCCAAGGAAGAATGCCGGCATGGTGGGGTCTCTGCTCCCACAGCAGTGGCCACTTCGCCTCCTAGTGCGATCCCTGAGGAAGCCTGCGGAGGAGCACCCCTGGGGGGTCTGCCTGGTGAGGCCCTGGCCTGCCCTGTGGGTATGGGCACCCCCGTGCCAGCAGATGACACTCAGGCCCTTCCCTGTGCACACACTTCTTGTCCTGAGAGCACAGCCCCGACCAGCCACCTGGTGACTGGCAGGGCCATGACCCTGAGTCCTCAGGAAGAAGCAGCTGTGGACCAAATGGCCAGCTCCTCGAGGAGCGGACCCATAAAACTAGAATTTGATTTATCTGATGGCGCCACCAGCAAAAGGGCAGCCCCACCAAGGAGACTGGGAGAGAGATCTGGCCTCAAGCCTCCCTTGAGGAGAGCAGCAGCGAGGCAGCAAAAGGCCCTGCAGGAGGTGGAGGAGGACCCCCCCATGCCAGCTTCTCGGGGCTCTTACCACCTCGACTGGGACAAACTGGATGACCCAAACTTCAACCCGTTCAGAGGTGACACCCTGTCTGGTCACAGAGAGGCCCAGCCCCCAGAAAGCCCTGAGACCAGGCTGGGCCGGCCAGCGTCTGAACAGCTGAGTGCTGGGCCTGCCACGGAGGAGCCAGGCACGTGTCTGAGCCAGTAAGTGTGGGGATGGGGTGGGGAGTGTGGTGTGGGGCAGCTGCCCCGCAGTGTGTGTGGTCAAGGACCCAGAGGTGTCATCAGATACTCCTTTGAGGCCGGGTGGGCTCCCCTTGAGAAGGGGCCTCTGGGCAAAAACAGGGTTCAGGTGGATCCCAGCTGAGGGTTCTTGGCCTTGCCTTGGCGCCATGCATCTCTTTAGTGCTCCCAGCCTAAGGAGGGATCCAGTAAGGGTGGGCTTAGGCCAGAAGCCAAATGCGGCCAACCTTGGGCAGGACCCTGTCCCCCAGTCATGTCCCTCCTCAGGTGAACTTGACTTGGGCACGTAACTCCCAAAGCCAGGCAAAGCCTGTTACTGCCTGGGGTGGCATCCACTGCTTGCTGGAGTCTTGGCCGTGGGTCTGCTGCCTCCTGGCTGAATGGTCTTAGGCTGCATCCCCTAGAGTTGCTCAGTGGGAGATTGTCCTGCCTGTAGGGTCCAACCCTACTGGGTCTGCGGGTTTTTTCTCCTCATGTGCGGAGACGAGAGATCATAGAAATAAAGACACAAGGAAAAGAGATAGAAGAAAAGACAGCTGGGCCCGGGGGATCACTACCACCAAGGCATGGAGACTGTAATGGCCCCGAATGCCTGGCTGAGCTGTTATTTATTGGATACAAGGCAAGGGGACAGGGTAAGGAATGTGAGCCATCTCCAGTGATAGGTAACGTCGCGTGAGTCACGTGTCCACCAGGCCTTTCCCTGTTTGGCAGCCGAGTTGGGGAGAGAGAGAGGACAGCTTCACGCCATTATTTCTTCTATGCATTTCAAAGACTTTAGTACTTTCACTAATTCTGCTACTGTTCTCTAGAAGCTCTAGAAGGCGTACAGAGCAGAACGTGAAAGTGAAACAGGAGCATGACTGCTGAAGCACAGCATCACAGGGAGGACGAGGCCTCCGGATGGCTGTGGACAGGCTTGACTCATGTCAGGCCTTTCATAATAGGTGGTGGAGCAAAGTCTTCTCTAACTCCCCCAGGGAAAGGGAGACGCCCTTTCTCAGTCTGCTAAGTAACAGGTGCCTGCCCCGGGCACTGACGCTACTGCTAGACCAGGGAGCCCTCTAGTGGCCCTGTCCGGGCGTGACAGAGGCTCACACTTGTCTTCTGGTGCTTCTCACCGTGTCCCTTCAGCTCCTATCTCTGTATGGCCTGGTTTTCCTAGGTTATAATTGTAGAACAGAGATTATTATAGTATTGGAATAAAGAGTAATGCTACAAACTAACGGTTAATGATATTCATATGGAATCATATCTATAATCTATTTCTAGCATAACTTTTTATTTTATATATTATACTGGAACAGCTTGTGCCCTCAGTCTCTTGCCTTGGCACCTCGGGTGGCTTGCTGCCCACACCTGCCCCAGCCTCCACACCTGAAGCCTTTTGTCAGTTTCACAGTGAAAGGGATGTGCTCATCCTTGTGGTTCCCTTGGGCTGCGTTGTGCTGACTTTAGAGCTCGCAGCCTGCTTCTCCCAGAGCTGGCAGGCAGGGTGTGTGTTTTCCTGCTGGGTGAGGTTGGTGAGGCTGCTCTGTGGCCAGGTCGCTTGGGGCAGCCGTATGCCTGGTGCACTCTAGCTGAGTGTTCATGTAGCCGGCACAGCAGTACAGGGAAAGGCAGTGGCAGCTCGGTGCTGGAGCAGGGGACGCCGGGGTTATGGGGTGTGGGGCATGGACCTTCTGCTGACTCTGTCTCCCCAGGCAGCTGCATTCAGCCTCAGCGGAGGACACACCTGTGGTGCAGTTGACAGCTGAGACCCCAAGAGCAGAGAGCAAGGTAAGGGGTGCCTGTGTGGGTGCCTGTGCTCCTGGCCTGGTTGTGTAGAAGAGTAGCAGGCAGTGGAAGCCCCCAGCGATCTTGGGTGATGGGGTGGGGTGTCCCGCTCCCTCTCCCCCAAGTCTACTTTGACAAGATTGTGGGGAGGCAAAGCTACACCCCAAGTACCTTGACTGCACTGCACAGGGTGACTCTGCCCATTCCTCCAGGAGGGAGCCTTGAACTCTGCCAGCATCTCGCTTCCCACAAGCTGTCCGGGCAGTGAGCCAGTGCCCACCCATCAGCAGGGGCAGCCTGCCTTGGAGCTGAAAGAGGAGAACTTCAGAGACCCCGCTGAGGGTATGTTGCCTGGCACAGACGTCACACGCAGTCTGCCTGGAGGGGGCCCCGTGAGCACTTGGGCAGCTTGATGCACCTGCGTCATCAGCAGATGTTCATTCTGCAGGCTCTTCGGTCTTTCAACTTTGAATGACTCATGCACAAATTTCTGGTTTGTCAAAACTTAGACACTGTTAGGAGAACAGGGCTTCTACCTTTAACATAAAAGACTTCTAGAAATGGAAATTGTAGACTCAGGAAAATGAGCAAAAGAGGTGAACAAGGCAGGGCACGGATGACATACAAATGCAGAGTCAACAACTGGGCACTCGATCATCAGAAATACTGCTTGAAACAACCTTTTTTTTTTTTTTTTTTTTGAGAGTCTTGCTCTGTTATCCAGGCTGGAATGCAGTGGCGCAATCTCGGTTCAATGCAACCTCCATTTCCCAGGTTCAAGAGATTCTCCTGCTCAGCCTCCCAAGTAGCTGGGATTACAAGCATGTGCCACCATGTCCAGCTAATTTTTGTACTTTTAGTATAAGAGACGGGGTTTCACCATGTTGGCCAGGCTGGTCTCAAACTCCTGACCTCAAGTGATCCACCTGCCTCAGCCTCCCAAAGTGCTGGGATTGCAGGCATAAGCCACCACACCTGGCCCAAAACCCCGTGATAATGAAATGTGAAGCCTAAACCTTAGACACCAGGCTGCAGTTAAATATGGTTTGTCTGTAAGATTGGAGGTGGAACGGTTCTTAAATTAAAGTGCATTTGGTAGGAATTGATGGCTGAGTTATTCTAAAGGACACAGCCACCTGGGTAAGATCTTAGTTTGGAGAACTGAAAGCCCAGGCACACAGCAGACGAGTGGCATGTAGGGTTTGTCGCTGACAGGATGGTTGTGGGCCTCCACCACGTGGGGATATTGGCTCAGCTGGGGTGGGCCTGTCACACTCATGTGGGATCCGTGGAATCACACAGCGTGGCCTTCTGTGTCCGGCATCTCCCTCGGGGAGGTGTGTTTTCGAGTCCCGGCCGTCCTGGAGCAGGTGTGGGTGCTCCTGTCCTTGCCGTGGCGGCTTGGCTTCATGTTGTCTTGATCCATTTGTTCATGGATTTGCTGGTTTCTGCTTTTTACCTGTCAGGAGTAGTACTGCCACGAATGTTCAGGTGTAAGTTCTATGTGGACGTATACTTCCATTTCTCCTGGACAGATACCTAGGAGTGGAGTCACTGGTCACAGTAACTCTGCTCACCTTTTAGCTGCCAGGTGGCCTTCCCGAGTGGCTGGAGCGTTTCCCATTCCCACCAGCGGTTAGAGGAGAGCCCCGGTTTCTCCACATCCTCACCAGCACTGCCTGTCTGTCTGGTTGATCCTGGACTTCCAGTGGTGGGAAGTGGATCTGGCTGTGGTTTTGATTTGCAGTTCCTGGGTGGCTCTTGAACAAGTGTCTTTTGTTTTTTTTTTGAGACGGAGTCTCGCTCTGTCACCCAGTCTGGAGTGCAGTGGTGCAGTCTCGGCTCACTGCAAGCTCCGCCTCCCAGGTTCACACCATTCTCCTGCCCCAGCCTCCCGAGTAGCTGGGACTACAGGCACCCGCCACCTCGCCCAGCTAGTTTTTTGTATTTTTTTAGTGGAGACCAAGGAGGGGGGGTGGGTTTCACCATGTTAGCCAAGATGGTCTCTATCTCCCGACCTCATGATCCGCCTGCCTCAGCCTCCCAAAGTGCTGGGATTATAGGTGTGAGCCACCGCGCCCGGCCAACGAGCGTCTTTTTGTGCCCGTTGGATATCTTCTTTGGGAAAGTGTCTGTTGAGATCTTTTGCCCGTTGAGCCACTTATGTTTTTATTACTGAGTTTTAAGAGTTAAATCCCTTTCATTCAAGAAGTGAAGAAAAGGAAAAAATAAAAAGTCCCTTATCAGATGATGTTTCAAAGTACTGGCTTTTGGCCAGGCACAGGGGCCCATACTTGTAATCTCAGCATTTTGCAAGGCCGAGGCAGGAGGATTGTTTGAGCCCTGTAGTTTGAGACTAACCTGGGCAACATGGCAAGACCTCATCTGTACGAAAAAAGATTTTTTTTTTAATTACCTGGGCATGGTGGCATACACCTATAGTCCCAGCTGCTGGGGAAGCTGAGGTGGGAGGCTCGCTTGAGCCAGGAGGTCAAGGCTGCAGTGAGCCATGATTGCACTACTGCACTCCAGTCTGGGCGACAGACAGCAAGACCCCTATCTGAAGGAAAGAAAAAAAAAGGCAGAAATGAAAATTGACAACAAAGCCGGGCACAGTAGCTCACTAGCACTTTGGGAGGCTGAGGCGGGCGAATCACCGGAGATCAAGAGTTCGAGACTAGCCTGGCCAATGTGGTGAAACCTCGTCTCTACTAAAAATACAAAAATTAGCTGGGTGTGTTGGCACATGCCTGTAATCCCAGCTACTCAGGAGGCTGAGGCAGAAGAATCACTTGAACCCAGGAAGCTGAGGTTGCAGTGAGCCAAGATTGCGCCATTGTACTCCAGCCTGGGCAAAAAAAAAAAAAAAGAAAACTGAAAGGCCATAGCAGAGAAGGACCTACAAGTCTTTGCTAGACTAAATAATTGGCAACAGTTTTTTAGTTTAATTGAGAAAAGGAGAAAATGAGCAAATACTACTAGGCATGAAGAGAGGGACAAAGCTAGAGATACCCCAGCCTGGATCTCAGCCGGACCGAGGCCCTGTCTTAAAGTGCTGGTTTGGTTTGTTTTTTTTCCGAGACTGAGTCTTGCTCTGTCACCTGGGCTGGAGTGCAGTGGCACAATCTCAGCTCATTGCAACCTCTGCCTCCCGGGTTCAAGCGATTCTCCTGCCTCAGCTTCCCGAGTAGTTGGGATTACAGGCTCATGCCACTAGGCCCAGCTAATTTTTATATTTTTAGTAGAGACAGGGTTTCCCCATGTTGGCCAGGCTGGTCTCAAACTTCTGACCTCAGGTGATCCACCTGCCTTGGCCTCCCACAGTGCTGGGATTACAGACGTGAGCTACTAGTAGCTCAGCTACTGTTTAAGAGTTTTATAGTTTTAAAGGCCGAGACCAGAGAAGCACTTGAAGTCAGGAGTTCAAGACCAGCCCTGGCAGCATAGCAAGACGACTCCTCTACCAAAAAAAAAAAAAATGATAGTTTTAACTCTCACAGTTAGGGTTTTGATCCATTTTGAGTTAATCTTTGTATATGGTATGAGGCACCTTTCCTTTTTTCTTTTTTTTGAAACAGAGTTTTCCCTCCGTTGCCTAGGTTGGAGTGCGGTGGCATAATCTCAGCTCACTGCAGCCTCCACCTCCCAGGCGCAAGCGGTTCTCCTGCCTCAGCCTCCCTGTAATAGGCGTGCACCACTGTACCTAGCTAATTTTTGTATTTTTTTGTAGAGACAAGGTTTTGCCCTGTTGGACTCCCGAGCTCAAGTAATCCACTTGCCTCAGCCTCCACCCTTAGTTTTAACCATAAGTTATGTTATCAAAAATTAAAAGACTTGTCTAGCATAATTTTAAAGACTAATAGTTCTCAACCAGAGCAGTTTTGCCCCGCCTTCCTCCAGATGTTTGTGGTTGTCTCACCTGGGGGTGCTGCTGGCAGGGAGTGGGTGGAGGCCAGGGATGCTGCTCAGCATCCTGCGGTGCCCAGGAGACTCCTGCCACAGAGAGCAGTCAGGCCTCGGGCATCAACACCTGCAAGGTAGGAAATCCTGCTGTGTCACAGAGGGCCTCGGCCCCAGGTCTCCATGAGACACTGCTGGCTGGAATGATCCCGCCCTACTGAGTGCTGAGGGAGACACCAGCCCGCGGCTCTTAGGGCCCTGGTGAGGGGCGGTGGCGGCGGCATGACTCCCTCCCTCTCAGTTCTAGGCACGGGCGCAGAGGTGGATTACCTGGAGCAGTTTGGAACTTCCTCGGTAGGTACCAGGCACTTACGCGAAGCCTCACCCGCACAGTGTCTGCGAGCAGCCGTAGCAGGTCTTTACCCCAGGGCGTCCCTTGGTGCCCACGTCCCCCCAGCTGCACACAGGCCCAGGCATCATGGCGGGTTCTGAATCCAGGCCCCCTCTGCAGCACCTCTTCTAAGTGGCGTCCTGTGGCAGGGCTCTAGGGCTCTCTACCTGGCGCTTAGTCCAGAATGAAACCCCGACATGCTGTGCTGCTGGGAATGGCGGTGCCTCGGGCAGGGTTGCGGGTGACCAGAGGTGGGAGTGTGTGTGTGACCTCCCTGGCCCTCAGCCCCCCTGTGTGTGTTTGGACGGCAGTCAGACCTGATCACTTGCCCTCTTGTCCCCAGTTTAAGGAGTCGGCCTTGAGGAAGCAGTCCTTATACCTCAAGTTCGACCCCCTGCTGAGGGACAGTCCTCGTAGACCAGTGCCCGTGGCCATGGAGACCAGCAGGTATGCGCGCCAGCCCTCCCCCACGCGTGAAGCCTTGAGTGTGGGAAGACTGGAGGCTGTTCCTAGGTGTGTGTCTGCACAGAGGCTTCTAGACCAGGGGGAGATGATCTGAATTAGAAAGGAGTTGTTGGGAGGGTGGGCAGGGCAGCAAGCCCAGAGCAGTCTTGTGTGGCTGGCAGGAGCAACGGCAGCCTACCCCCCAGTCACAGGGCTGCTGCCTTGCTGGTTACAGCCACCATTCTAGGTGGATTAAAGATCTAAACTTAAATCTTTTAAAAGTAGTTCCTCTAAAATAGGTCAGCAGGCCAGACGCGGTGGCTCACGCCTGTAATCCCAGCACTTTGGGAGGCTGAGGTGGATTGCCTCAGCTCAGGAGTTTGCCACCAGCCTGGGCAACATGTTGAAACCCCGTCTCTACTAAAATACAAAAATTAGCCAGGCATGGCAGCATGCACCTGTAGTCTCTGCTACTTGGGAGGCTGAGGCAGGATAATTGCTTGAACCCAGGAGGCGGAGGTTGCAGTGAGCCGAGATTGCACCACTGCACTCCAACCTGGGTGACAGAGAAAGACTCCATCTCCAAAAAAAAAAAAACCCCGGCCGGGCGCGGTGGCTCAAGCCTGTAATCCCAGCACTTTGGGAGGCCGAGACGGGCGGATCACGAGGTCAGGAGATCGAGACCATCCTGGCTAACACGGTGAAACCCCGTCTCTACTAAAAAATATAAAAAATTAGCCGGGCGAGGTGGCGGGCACCTGTAGTCCCAGCTACTCGGGAGGCTGAGGCAGGAGAATGGCGTAAACCCGGGAGGTGGAGCTTGCGGTGAGCCGAGATCATGCCACTGCACTCCAGCCTGGGCGACAGAGCAAGACTCCGTCTCAAAAAAAAAAAGCAAGAAACAGAGGTCAGCAAACTGTCACCTGTGGGCCAAACTTGGCCACTGCCTGTTTGTGTAAATAAAGTTTTATCATCACAGAGCCATGCCCGTTCCTTTGCAAATTGTGGCAACTTTCACACTATAAGGGCAGAACTGAGTAGTGTGACAGAGGCTGTGTAGCTTTCAAATCCCAACACATGGCCGGGCACAGTGGCTCACGCTTGTAATCGCGCCCTTTGGGAGGCCCTGGTGGGCGGATCACTGGAGGTCAGGAGTTCGAGACCAGCCTGGCTAACGTAGTGAAACCCCATCTCTACTGAAAATACAAAAATTAGCCAGGCGAGGTGGTGGGCACCTGTAATCCCAGCTACTTGAGAAGCTGAGGCAGGAGAATCCCTTGAGCCTGGGAGGCAGAGGCTGTGGTGAGCCGAGATCATGCCACTGCACTCCAATCTGGGGGACAGAGTGAGACCCTGTCTCAAAAGAAGGAAAAAAAAAAGTGAGCCTCTGAACTGCGAGCAGCCCCCGATGAGGCAGCACCGGCTCCACTCAGCCTGCAGTGGGTAACAAAGTGTCGCCATGCTCTCCGGAAGGACAAGCAGCCACGTGGGACAGGCAGGTGAGGGAAGGGGGCTTGGGGCAGCAGAGAGGCCAGGCCTGCTGGATGCAGGTCTGTGTTTTCTACCGCTACCCTGACTTGAGTGGTTTTAAACTAAAAAGCAAAGAGCCTGGTTACCTTGTCCACATGGTCCTCTGTGTCCTACTCAATACTGGGAGGACTTGAGTGACTGAGGCTGCCTCTGCTTGGTGGCAGCATGCACGGTGCAAATGAACCTCCCTCAGGAAGTCCGCGGGAAGCCAAGCTTGTGGAGTTCGATTTCTTGGGAGCACTGGACATTCCTGTAAGTCCTTCAGTCCTTCTTGAACTGTCTTGTCTGTGGTCTGAGGGAAGGAATTGTTTTAAGGGCCTATGTTTTCTATTCCTGGGGATCTGAAGCCTTTGGCTCCATCGGGGGCATGGAGCCACGGTGCTGTCTCAGGTCCCTCGCCACGCTGTCTGAGCCTCTTGGCCTGCGTGGGCCTTTCCTCCCCGCCCACGCCAGGTCACAGGCAAGAGGCAAGGGCGAAATGGGTTCCTGGTTCATCCCCATCTCCTGCAGGTGCCAGGCCCACCTCCAGGTGTCCCCGCACCTGGGGGCCCACCCCTGTCCACCGGGCCTATAGTGGACCTGCTCCAGTACAGCCAGAAGGACCTGGATGCAGCGGTAAGGACGAAGGGAGTGGCTGTTCCACAGAACCTGCAGGCCACTCTGGGGCTTGGCCAACAGTGGGCACGGGTGGGGTCCAAACAGCCTGACCAGCCATCCCTGCCATCCCTGCCCCTGCTGGTCAGGGTGGAATTGCAGAGAGCTGCCGGCCCCTGGCCTGTCACTGCTGCCCAGGTTGCTGAGGGTCCAGGCTTCCACCCAGTGTCCCTGCAGTCAGCTGTCCACCAGCAGCTTCCCCAGGACTCTGTGGCCTGGGTGCAATGCTCACCTCTGGTGTGGCCTTGCAGCAGTGTGTGGTACTCGCTGATGTAAACCCAAGTGTTGTCCCTTTCCTGCTGCCCTCCCACAAGTCCAGACGCATCTCCTGGCAGGTTAGGAAGCTCCATCTTCACCCGCCCCACACCTGAGGTCCCCTGCCTTGTCTCCCTCCATCCTCACTGCACATGCCAGGCTTCAGCCTGTTCTAACTCCAGGCCTAAATTGTCCATAAGAGAGCTGTAGGCACGCAAAGGGGCTGGGTGTCTGCAGGCACTGCTGTGAGCTACTGCCACCAGACAGTCCCCAGGGAGGTGGGGACAGGGTGGCTCCGGAGGCCGGCTGGCAGGGCTGGGTTCAAGCCCCAACATCCATACCAGTGTTGCTCGCAGTGGCCCCAACTGCGATGTGATGCGGCCCTGACTCAGTTCCCCAACAACGCCCTCCCTGTGTCAGAGCCCATTCGAGGAACCCGATAGCAGGGCTGGGGACCACAGCGTGGCCGGCCCCCTCCTCTGCAGGCCTGGACTCTGGGGGCAGGTGGCCCCTGCATGTAACTTATGTTAGAAATGCAAAATGCTTGTTCCCTGGTGCCACAAATAGCACTCGAATATAACTTTAATTTTCTCAGTAAGGCAGTTTTTATTTTCTGCAGAAAGCGTGCCCCTCGCAGATGGAACAGTGGCAAGAGCACACTTGAACAAGGGAGGGGAAGGGGTTCTTATTCCTGATGTAGGTAGCCCCTTCTGCTATAGTGAGCAGAGATCGCGCCACTGCACTCCAACCTGGGTGACAGAGCGAGACTCTGTCTCAAAAAAAAAAAAAAAGATCTGAACATACTAACATACTGATTCTTTGAAGAGAAACTTGGGGTTCACTATATTTAACACTTAGGACCTCTGGTGTCCGCCACTGGGCTGCGGGGGTGGGTGCAGGACACACACCTGTTGGGTGCCTGCTGGTTCCACCCAGGATCACAGCCCGCAGCCCCAGGCCTCCTGCCCCCGGCAGTCCAGTGCATGTGGAGCAGGCAGCCTTGGCCTCAACGGGTTTCCCAGGGTCCCACTAGAAGCCCTACATGGAACTGTGGCTCTGGGACATAGCTCCAGGGACCTCGGGTGTCGGCTGGCCCCATCCTGTGGGGAGGTCTTGGGAGGGTCAGTCTGGCCCACCTGCCTGCTAACTTGGGTGTGGCCCGAGCAGGTAAAGGCTACACAGGAGGAGAACCGGGAGCTGAGGAGCAGGTGTGAGGAGCTCCACGGGAAGAACCTAGAGCTGGGGTAAGGAGGCTACGCCCCCTGTCCTCCCCATCCCTGTTCCCGTGCGCATCCCCACCTGGCCTGGAACCGCTGGCCACCCGAGGCCATGGCTGTGTGCTCTCCTCCCACAGGAAAATCATGGACAGGTTCGAAGAGGTCGTGTACCAGGCCATGGGTGAGTTCCCGGGCCGCTGAGGGCACCCACCTCCAGGAGGAGCTGCCTATGCCCCACCCTGGCCCTGCCCCGTACCCTGCCTAGGGCCCCACCCTCCTGAGGCCCCTCTTCCTAACACACAAATCCCCTCAACATGGGCCCAGCCGTGGAACCACTGAGGCAAGTTATGGGGAGATTGGTGGTAGTGAGGCTGGTGGCTCCCACAGAACCAGCACTTGTCAGGCCCCAAAGTTGTGCAGATGCTGAGCTAGCAGTGGGGCTGTGGTGGGAGCAGAGCCTGTCCCGCCATGGCCTGCTCCACTCCACCCTGCCCTCACCGTGCGGCTGTGTCTAGCAGCAGCTTCTGTAGGTGTCTGGCAGGACAGGAACACCGGGCCCCACCTGGCCTCCCAAAAGCTTGGGCTCCTGGAGGTGCTACTGTGGGGATCTGTCTTAGGCTGCGTGTCAGCTGGGGGCAGGTGACTGCCTGGCCCTTGCAGTCCCTCCAGGACCACCACGACAGCACGACCCACAGCCTGGAGTTCGCTATACCGGCTCCCAGGCCTCACCCTGGACTCGAGGATGTTGGGCGCCGCCTCTCTTTGGGGACCTCTGTTGCTGGGCCCTGGCCCAGGCTTCAGTTCCCTATGGATCTGATGTGGAGGAAACAGCTGTTTTCTGGGCCTTGCTTCCGGCCTAGGAAGACCCCAGGTGGAGGGGCTCATTGCCCTGCTGAGGCTCACACCCACTACCCACCTCTCCTCCTGGCACTCAAGCACCTCACCTCACTCCTTGGGCCGTCTCTGGCACCTAGCGTCTCGGTTGCCTCCTCATCCTGAACGTTTGTTTTTCTTTTCTCAAGAGGAAGTTCAGAAACAGAAGGAACTTGCCAAAGCTGAAATCCAGAAAGTTCTAAAAGAAAAAGACCAACTTACTACAGACCTGAATTCCATGGAGAAGTCCTTCTCCGACCTCTTCAAGCGTTTTGAGAAACAGAAGGAGGTGATCGAGGGCTACCGCAAGGTATGTTCCCGCTGCCCCGATGTCCTCACCTCGGAGGTTGATGGACTCATGGTCCAAGCCAGCGGGGCTACAAGCTGCTGTTTGCACCTTGGTCCTTGGCCAAGCCTCCCCTTGCCATGGGGGCGTGGGATGACCTGTGAATGAGACAGGGTGCAGGAGTCACAGCTGGTTTGCGAGGCAGCTGAGGGTGGTGGGAGGCAGAGTGAGCTCTGCTGTTATGTGAAGGATGACTTGGCTATGATCAAACACCTGTGAGGTTTGAGACAGTGCTGGTGCACCGGGGCCTGGGGCACTTCAGAAAGGGCGTCAAACCTGGGCTGTCTAAGCGCTTGGGTCCCAAGGGTTGGGGACCCAGGGCATGCAGTATCCAAGGCAGGAGGCCCATAGAAAGGTGGTCACGGCTATGCAAGGTCACCCTGGCGTCCTCCTGGCCATAGGACTCTGAGCGCCCTCCACCTTCTGTGCTGGGCAAGGCCCATGTGCTACTGGAAGGAGGGATGTCTGGGCCATCCATCTGCCCGGAGCAGGCCTGGAAGGTACCTGCGAGGCCGCCAGAGGGTTCTGCCCACAGCAGTAGTGTTGGAGCGGAGGTGCTCAGTGTCTCCTGTAGAGGAGCTGGACCTGCGGGTGCAGCTGGAAGAGGGGCTGTCACCATTGGTGCAAGGGGCTGGGGACGCCAGATGGGTCCTCTGGGAGTCAGACTAAACTAGAACAGTGGCCCTGGCAGGGCCTGGCTCAGCCACACCTCATCTGAGTCCTGAAGTCAGGTGGGTGTCAGTGGCTGGGGCCCAGCTGCCTCAGAGAAGCGAGTCTGAACACTCTCTGGAAGAAGGTGTCTTCATGCTTTAAGTTGCTGCCACAGAGTTTTAAATTGGTGTCTGGCACAGAATAACCGAGTGTGAAAGGAACAGGAAACATGAGTGAAAATCAGACCTGTTATTAGAGTGAGGCATGGTGCTATACGCCTGTGGTCCTAGCTACTTGGGAGGCTGAGGTGGGAGGATCGTTTGAGTTCGGGAGGTGGAGGCTGCAGTGAGCCACAATTGTATCACTGCACTCCAGCCTGGGCAATAGACCAAGACCCCCATCTCTAAAATTAAAAAAAAAAAAAAAAAAGAAGAAAACTGTTGATGGACCCACGGGAGCCCCAGATGTTTTAGGTGGCACCAGCAGGTAATGCCCCAGATCTGCAGGGAGCAGATGGGAAGGGCCTCGCGGCAGCAGAGTGCAATAATCTGGCCCAGTACAGACGCTTGGAGAGGCTGCTGACTTGAGGACACAGTGGCTTTGCTGACCTTCCCTCAGGTTGGGCTGTGGTGTGAGCAGCTGCCTTGGCCTTGCCTCTCCTCGGGGTAGGCCTGTGCCTCAGCTCCCACTGGCCACCTCCCCACTTTCTCATGGAGGCTTCTTTGCACATCTAATCCCATCTCGGAGGACCCAGTGCAGAGTTTAAAGTAATTGCCTTCTGTGTTCAAAAGAGTATTGCTTCAGTAGAGACCTCGAAGCTAGAAAAGAATCCCCTTTGGGAGGCCAAGACAGGCAGATCACTTGAGGTCAGGAGTTCGAGACTAGCCTGGCCAACATGGTGAAACCCCGTCTCCTAAAAACACAAAAATTGGGCTGGGCAAGGTGGTTCCTGCCTGTATTCCCAGCACTTTGGGAGGCCAAGGCAGGTGGATCACCTGTCAGGAGTTCAAGACCAGCCCGACCAATATGGTGAAACCTCATCTATACTAAAAATACAAAAATTAGCTAGGTAGGCATGGTGGCATTGGCCTGTAGTCTAAGCTACTCGGGAGGCTGAGGCAGGAGAATCGTTTGAACCTGGGAGGCAGAGATTGCAGTGAGCCGATAGCGCACCATTGCACTCCAGCCTGGGCAACAGAGCAAGACTCCATCTCAAAAAAAAAAAAAATTAGCGGGGCATGGTGGTGCAGGCCTGTAGTCCCAGCTCCTCAGGAGGTTGAGGCATGATCATCACTTGCACCTGGTAGGCGGAGGTTGCAGTGACCCAAGATTGCGCCAATGCACTCCAGCCTGGGCCACAGAACAAGACTGTCTCTAAGAAACAAAAAATACGGAAAAACTAGGCCAGTTTATGCCTGTAATCCCAGCACTTTGGGAGGCCGAGGCAGGAGGACCACGAGGTCAGGAGTTCAAGACCATCCTGGCCAACATGGTGAAACCCTGTCTGTACTGAAAATACAAAAATTAGCTGGGCGTGGTGGCAGGCACCTGTAGCCCCAGCTACTCAGGAGACTGAGGCAGGAGAATTGGGAGGTGGAGGTTGCAGTGAGCCGAGATCGTGCCATTGCACTTCAGGCTGGCGACAGAGCGAGACTCAGTCTCAAAAAAAAAAAAAACTAGAAAAGAACCAAATGGAAATTTCTAACAGGTACACAGTTAACAAAGTTAGCAGTTCAGAGGGTACAGGTCAGATGAGTAAAGCAGTGGGTGAGCTGGGAGCCAATGTGTGGACGGCAGTCCCTAGAGCCAGAGGGAGAGACGCCGCTGTGGCGGGAGGCTTGACCTGTGTCGACATGAGAGCTTTCGGCTGCCACCTCCCAGACAGACGCTGTTGGGAATTTTCCACAGCAGAGAAATACAGGGCTGTGGGTTTATGGGAGGTGTGACCTCCGCAGGACATCGTGGGCTGCATGCTGGGTGGGTGCTCCTGGGATACAGGGCTGCAACAGAGGAGTGGAGATGGCTGGGCCGTGAGGCTACTGGGGGCACTGCAGGAAGAGGGCAGGTGGGCTGAGCCTTCCCCAAGCGGAGGCCACTCGGGGGCCCAGGAGCCCCTCAGTTGGGGCTTCTCGGTCACTGAGCGGAAGGTGCCCCCAGAGCTGTGGGGAGCAGGCAGGTCTGGGTAACCATGTGGCTCCTGCTGGCCTCCCCTGCCTGTCCCCAAAGCACAGGGTCCACCTCCAGAGGGGGAGGGGCTGGGCTGTCAGTGGTCCCAGGTGCATCCCACTTTCCAGCAGCACTTGGTGCCAGCAGAAGCTACAGGTGTGGCAGGAGGGGGCGCAGCCGTGAGGGCACCAGGTTCAGGCCTGGCGTCTCTGAGGGTGGAGAGCCAGGGCTGTCCTGAACCTCCAGAGGGGGTGAGCTGGGAACTTGGGTGGAGGGGCTTTTTCCACAAGGAAAACAGGAGGTACTGCCTCATGACTGATGCCCCAGACAGCGTTGAGGGTCTGCAGGTCCCCAGACACCAAGCCTGGGTACTCTTCAGCAGATGGCATGGTACCCACAGCTAATGCCTGCCCCTTCCTAGAACGAAGAGTCACTGAAGAAGTGTGTGGAGGATTACCTGGCGAAGATCACCCAGGAAGGCCAGAGGTACCAAGCCCTGAAGGCGCATGCGGAGGAGAAGCTGCAGCTGTGAGTGCTGGGCGAGGCCCCCACCCTGGAGGGAGAGTCTGAGCACCTGGGCCCCAGCTCAGCCTCTGCCCTGCCCTTACCGTCCAGGGCAAACGAGGAGATCGCCCAAGTCCGGAGCAAGGCCCAGGCGGAAGTGTTGGCCCTCCAGGCCAGCTTGAGGAAGGAGCAGATGCGGATCCAGTCGCTGGAGAAGACAGTGGAGCAGAAGGTGGGTGCGGGAAGCCCAGCTCACGGGGCCGGCTGGCAGCACCTTCTAGAAGGCCCTTGGGCCTGCCGCTCCCTCCAGGCAGGGAGAAGCCCCCGCAGCTCATCTTCCTTCTCCAGACTAAAGAGAACGAGGAGCTGACCAGGATCTGCGACGACCTCATCTCCAAGATGGAGAAGATCTGACCTCCCGGGAGCCGCCGTCCCGCCCCTGCTCCCGTCCGTCGTCTCGTCTGATTCTCTTAGGTGTCGTGTTCTTTTTTCTGTCTTTTCTTCAACTTTTTTTTTTTTAACTAGATTGCTTTGAAAAGATGAGTAAATAAAAGTTTCCTTTCAGTTTAAACCCTGAAGCCGCTCTGGTCTTGATGAAGCAAAGGCTTCCCAGCTCTGGCCTGAGGCTGAGCCCATCTGCAGGCACCTCCCTTTCCCTCAGAGCTGGCCACTTGGTCCCTGCCTGCCCCAGGCTCAGGCTGCCCTGCTGAGGGCAGGGACAGCCAGTGGCTGGAGGAGGCTCAGGTCTGCCCAGTCTGCCCCAGCCACCTCAGGTTGGCTACATGGTTGTGGCCTCAGGTACACACATCGAAGTCCAGATTGACTCAAGTTGTTGTTTGAGATGGAGTCTCGCTCTGTAGCCGAGGCTGGAGTGCAGTGGCACGATTTCAGTTCACTGCAAGCTCCACCTCCCGGGTTCACGCCATTCTTCAGCCTCCCGAGTAGCTGGGACCACATGCACCCGCCACCACGCCTGGCGGATTTTTTGTATTTTTAGTAGAGATGGGGAAGTTTTCATATAAAACAAAAACCATGAACAGCCAGGCGTGCGTGCTGGTGGCTCTGATTCTGGTGCCGACCTGGCGAGCCTGCAGCCTCAGCTAATTGAGCGCTCACCTAGGTGTGGGTGTGGCGGGAGGCCCCTGCAGGTGCAGCTGCTCAGCCCCCGTCATCCTCAGGGGCATGGAGGCTTCAGAGCAAAACAGGTTTCCCTGAGGAAGTTCTGTCTCCACATGGCAGGGCTTCCTTCCCAACCCTAACCCCACAGTCCCGTCCTGCGGATCTCAAACTTGGACAGGCGCACTGGAACCCAGGGCAGTTCCAGGAGCCCTTCTGGACAGGCAGAGGCTTGGCCCAGCTGGGGCATCCCAGGAGCCGTGGGCACCAAGTTGAGAGATGCTGGTCGCTGGGTTCAACCATGGTACCTAGGACCCCAGCACCAGCCAGAGGGCCAGGGTCTCCTGAAGGGCTGGGCAGGACCAAGGGTTGATGCTGTAACCTGTTGCCGGGGGTCACTGCTGCTGTGCGCAGATCACGCCGTCCAGAAGAGCCGGTTTCTTCCATCAGTGGAGAGTGGGGCTCCCCACATAGGGAGGGACCCGGATGACTGATCTGGCCGCAGTCATCTGGCCCCAGTAGTGTCTGCGCCTGGGGGTTGCAGTCCCAGGACCTGCTTCCAAGGCTCTGCAAGTCTGCGCCTTACCCTGGTGAGCAGCACCCCAGTACTGGCCCTCAGGTGGGTGCAACACCACTGCCAGCTGCCGCCAGGGGTCACTGCCTCTGTGGGCCACACAGGGACCGGACCAGGTGGGTGACACCCTGAAGGGGCGGGGCTGGGGTGCCAAGAAGCATGAACCACCAGGGAGGCTGAGGAGCCGGTGGGGACTTCAGCCTGGGGTGGCCACTGGGGTGTCCCCAAGGGCAGGAGGGCGTGTTTGTTCTTAGTACATTTGGAGGAGGGAGCCTGTCACGGATGGACGGCCACAGCGGGCCGTGACCAGTCATGGCTGGGGCAGGGACTGGGCCAGCCTCGACGGGGTGGGGGGGGCTGGGGGCCACTCTCCTTGCCCTCCTCAGCCCACCTGTGCTCCTGCAGCACCTCCCGACTGGCCTCCCAGGACCATCTCACCCCTCCCTCCCCTGGGCAGCAACCCCCATCTCAGCCCTGAGCCTGAGTAATAATAGGGTACAGTCCCTGGCTGAGGGGCCTCTGAGAGCCTGCCATGACCCACTTCACAGACAAGAAACTGAGGCCCACAGACCAGTGGTCATTGGCTGGGGGAGGCGGGCCAAGCACAGGGTGTGGGGCCCCCTCTCCTGCTTGGGGTTGAGAATATGGGGGAGCAGAAGGGCCCTGGAGCCTCCAGAGCTCACCAGCTTGCCCATGGGCAGCACGGCCCGCCTCAGCCTCCCCGCTGCCCACAGGCATGTCCGGCCGCAGGACTCCCACCTCTCTCTGCAGGGTCAGCTCTGCTCTCACGAGATCTCAGGACACAAGGCGGCTGCCAGGTCCTCCTCCTCACTCAGCCCTGCCAGTCTGGCCTGGCTCCTCCAACAGCTGCCCAGGGCCCTGTCCCCCGCTGGGGCCTCTCTGAGCCAAGCCGGGAGCCTGCCCGGAGAAGGCCATGCAGGGCGGCTGGACGTGTCAGGGCACCCGGCCGGGCCTGGGGCCGCGCCGAGGACACCGGCCACCAGGCAGCATCCTGGGCTGGGAGCCTCTCTCCCAGGACAAAGGGGCCTTGTGTGGCTGAATGGGTGTTTATCCTGGAGCCTGAGTTAACTCAGGGCTGCGAGGCCGGGCGGGGGCCCTGGCACCGGCCTGCCTGGTAAACATGACCTGAGCTGGGCACGCAGCCGTGGCCCGGACTTCCGCAGCCCTGGACCCCCTGCACATCCACTCAGTCGCCTTGTGGGCCTCCCGCCAGGACGGGGGCTCAAGGAAACAGGAGCTGTCCTAGGGGCCACCTCCGTGGGAGTCCTCATGCACAGTCATGGAGGCAGCGCTGGGCTCTGCCCTTCCCACAGCTCAGGGCAGGGCTCAGAAACACCCCCCAATGTGCCCCATTGGAGGGAGGGGTGAGGGTTAGACGAAGCCGTGAGGGTGAGGCCCTGGTCTGCTGGGATTAGTGTCCTTGTGGAAAGGCAGCAGGCTGGGAGAACTTTGGAGGAACTGACCCGTCAGCACCCTGATTGCGGACTTGGCGCCTCCAGAACCCGGAGAAACACGTGTCTGTGGTGCAAGCCATCTGGTCCCAGGCAGGATGAGACCCACCATCCGAGGAGCTGTCCAGCCTGATGCCCACCCACTGCCCGGCTCCCCCTGCAGCCAATATCCGAATCCCGAGGGGAGTGCAGGGCTCAGCCCCACGTGGAGAAGCCAGGTCTGTGGGGCACCCCCACTCCTCTAAGGCCACCCAGGAGTGGAACCTGCAGCTGCCTCCCTGGGCTGGTCAAGACCTTTTCAACAGGGTCGGTGGGGCTGCCCCTCCAAGCTCACTCCCTTGCCCCCATGCTCTCTCCAGGGGCCACCAGCCACAGGGCCGGATGGAAGAGGAGGTGGGGGGAAGGGAGACAGGCCAGGACGAGCTGACCACAGCCCGGGCGTTCCCTGCCAGGCAACCCCTCTGCAGCCCCCACCCTGCCCTAGCCAACCTGAGCCCTGGGAGAGAGTTCACCCGGCCCACAGGCAGACCCAGGTCACCCTCCCATGGACTCAGGGGCTGTCCCCAGCCCAGGCTGAACCCCAGACCCCTTTTGGTCCCCCAAGGTCCACGCCAGTGAGGGTCCCTGCAAGTCCATGTGGGTGCCGGAGGTCCCTCCTCCAGCCCATCACTCCACCTTCCGGGAAGGACCCCCCCGAGGCCTGGGGACTAAGCCCCGGCGCCGGACTGCCCTGGTGGGCCAAGCACACGTCTCTTGTCTCTCTCAGGGAGCTCTGTGAGGGGCAGGATCCGGCCAGCAGCCGCCCAAGAAGCTGGAGCACGTTGGGGAAAAGCCCTGTCCCCACAGGGCTGGGGCTGGACGAGGTCCAAGGAGGGGCTTCTGCCCGAGCCCAGGCCTTCCTTGGGGTGTGCTCAGGTGGCAGGTGCGCGTGTCATGGGTTGTCATGGGTTGGAGGGGTGGAACGTGTACGTCCTGGCTGCCCTGGAGCTGCGGGGACCCCGAACTCCCGGGGCTTCTGCCTGAGCCTTTGGACCCCAGTAGCCTGCAGGGGGCGCCATTGGGCCACCGGAGCCCCTTCTGCAGACCCGGCCTGACCGCACTCCTGACAGGCCATTCCTACCGCCTGGCCACAGGCCTCCGGGAGGGGCCCCCACCCTGGGGTGATGAGGAGCCACCTGGGCCTGCATCAGGCCTCCCCACAGGGCCTCCCCACCTGCCCCTCCCCACAGCGCCCCCTCCCCACAGCGCCCCCTCCCAACCCAACATGCCTCCTCCCCAACAGGCCCCCTCCTTACCTGCTCCCTCCCCACCTGCCCTCTCCCCACCTGCCCCCTCCCTACCTGTCCCCTCCCCACCTGCCTCCTCCTCAGCATGGCCCCTCCCCATCTTCCCCTTCCCCACTGTGCCCCCTCCTCACTAGCCCCCCCCCACCAGTCCCCCACTGCAACTTTGCCCCCCCTCTGTTTCCTGGACCCTGCATACTCATCAGAGCCCTGGAGGTTTGTGGAGGGCAGGGCTGGGGACTGGGAGGTTTCAGGCCATGCAGGGCTGGAGGCAGCACACCAGGCACCCTTGCTAGGGTCTGGCCTAGCCTGATAGGAGGACTGCAGGACAGGGGGGCCTTGGCAAGGCCCAACCCCTCCCTCCCCACCCAACCCTGCCCAGCTGGGTTCTGGGAACACACCTGGTGACTGGGTGGCTGGGGAAACGGCACCTCTACAGCCTGAACCACCAGCGGTACTCACTGGGCCCGACTCCACAATTCTGCAGGCATGGACCAGACTCCAGTAAACAGCCCCTCCAACGCCCCTGCCCCAGCCGGGTTCCAAATACTAGGCTGAGGCTGCGTGGTTTGCAGGTGTGTCAAATGAATGAAGGAACAACTGTCCAGGCTCCAGGAGCCTCTGCCCCACGGTCCCTGCCCCACGGTCCCCGCCCCACAGTCCCCGCCCCCCTTCCACTCAGGCCCCTCCCTCCAGGCCAGCAGGGATGAGGTGAGGGCTTAGAGCCCCTGCAGGCATCGGGGGTGGTGGGGCCCCCGCCCTGTGTCCCCTGTGTCCCTCGATAGCTATTCGCCCCCATCTCCCCAAACCCCACTGACACGGACGGCCCCACCTGGCTGAGCTCACAGGAGCTCTGGAGCCCACCCTGCAGAGAGAGAGGAGGGGGCGGGGGGATGCACTCATGTTTGCTTCCGAGGGACAGTGGGCAGAGCAGGGCTGTTTGTGAGTGAGACACTCAGTCCCCGGGCCTCTGGACCCTCAAAGAAAGGGTTCCTGTGTGGGCCAGGGGCTGCCTCTGCTGATAAGTGGTGGCCTGGCCACTTGGTGTCCAAAGGCCCCATGTCTGCCCACACTTAGGGACTGGGGATGTGGAAGGCTGCTCTGGCAGAGCCACCGTGTGGGCACCATCCCAA